GTTGCCCCCATGGGCGGCAAAAGCGGTCGTCAGTTTCAGGCTGATTTCGCATAGGCTGGCAAATTTGAAAATCAAAATCTCTGGTGGGATTATAACTTGATTTACGTGTTACACGCCACACGCTGGATACGAGCATGAGCAAAGACAGACATGGTTCAACCATTTTACAGCGGCGTGGCCGCGGCATGGAACACCTAACGGTACGATCGCGATGGGGGATTTCAAGGCCCAGCTATGTCAACAAGAACCGGGTGACGAAGATATCATGGGGAGCTATTTCTATCGCAACGCTTGGCCAAAACGTCGAGACTGACTCAATAGAGAATTGTTGCTCGAATCCTGCCGGGCATCTGAAACAAGGATTGCTAGCACGATCTTCCTGGACGAGGCCGGCAAGCTCATCGCATACTACGGCACGTACGCCTCAGAGACGGGGCAGGCGGTAGAATGGGAAGATTTTGCTCAAATCGACAATTGCCTAGTTGATGGGACACTTTTAGAGAAAATACTTGTTGCGCATTCGGATCGCACCGTGCCGCTGGCGAGCCGACATTTCCTTTTAACTGTACACTTGGGCATCGCCTTACACTCGACGGACAAACATAAGACCAAGCAGAGTTTGGATCTCTGGGAGCTTATGACGGACAATGCGATCAAGACGCAATTCTGCTGGTACTTATGCGACGCTAACGAGACGACCAATGGGAAGGCGGCCACGATCAACGAACACGCTTCCAGGGTGAATGAGGCGATGCACACAGCGTCGACGGTCCTCACGCGTACCCGGATATCGGCGCACAAACCATACATATCACGCGCCACAGTGGCTCGACTGGAAGAACGTAACCGTGCGGGGCACCACGAACATGCACTGAATAAACGCATCCGGGCGAGTGTCCGGGAAGACAAAAGGAAGTGGCTGGACGACCAGTTGGCCAGCGGATCCTGGAGCGCCGTACGCAAGCTGAGGAAAGGCAAAGCAAAGAAGCCGGTCCAAAAACGAGATGCGCACGGGCATCTAGTGGACAGCGATCGTAGAGCGGACACCCTGGCCGACTAATTTGAAAAAGTGCAATGGGCAGTGAGCTTTCCTGACCTATAGTGGTCGAGGAAAGGCCCCCGGTGGGAGAAACCCTCCCTTCGAATATTGCTGCTTTTCCATTCGCGAATTATCAGCTGCACTCAGAGCTATGTCCACAGGTAAAGCTGCGGGCATTGACGAAGTGCCTCCAGAATCTTATAAATCGTTGTTATTTAATTCAAAAACAATGCAATATTTGCTGTCTCTCTATCGGCAGTGCTGGGATGAAAAAGCAGTCCCCGATGAATGGCAGATAGCTGTAGTCGCTCTCTTGCACGAAAAAAGGGACACGAGTCTGCCTGAGGATTACAGGCCGATATCTTTATTGCCCGTTGCCTGGCCTGGATGATCCAAAAACGCTTGCAAAGCGGAGGTGCGGAGTGCCGAATACGGAATTCGCAATTTGGTTTCCGACTAAACCGAAGCACCTCCCAGGCCATAGCTATTGTTAGACGCATGTTCGATGCAGCGCAGGCGGCGAAAGCTCCTGGACTCATCGCGGTTTTCTTGGATTGGGCGAAAGTATTTGATAAGATAAAGCACGACATGTTGATTGGAGCTTTTGCCAGGTTTGGCATTTCACGACAGATGGTGGACATGATAGGGAGCAAGGGAACATGTACTCAGCTCGCCGATTTATTTTTAGGGATTCCGCCGGTAATTCGTCGCAGCGGTGCCAAGCATCAGGCATAGCACAAGGTTGCCCCCTCTCGCCGGATTTGTTCATTATCATGCAGAGCGAATGTTTTTCGATGTTGATCGTGCTGTCGAGGGCGTGGACACAGATGTCGTCAAACCAGAACTTTTAATGTGCCCGCATACTTCATACGCAGATAATACAATGCTTGCGAGTAGCAGCGCAACGAAATTGCAGACGTTGCTAGACGCCGTAATTTGCGAAGGAAAAAAATACGACCTCGAATTAAACTGGCCAAGACTGTGGCCGTTGATATCTATATATATATATATAGATATATATATATATATATAACACAATGGGGTTGTCCAGACCCCGTCGGGCACCCCAGTGGTCCCAGCGCGGCAAGTCGTTTACTCAGGCGGTCTTCTAAACGCAGACGCCAATGCCAAGACGGAGCTGACGCGGCGCCTCGGGGAGGCACGCGGTGTGTTCACAGCGTTACAGCGTTGCTGGTCACACGCCAACATTACGAAATCTAGGCAGCTTGAGCTGTACAGCGCAATTGTTCTTCCAAAGTTGTTGTACAATCTAGAAACACTTTGGCTTTTGAAAGCTGGCAAAAAGAGATTCGACAGGTTCCAAGCGCAGTGCCTAGGGCGTATCTGGAGCATTCCACATTCATATTTCTCGAGAATGTCAAACGACCAAGTTTTGAACATATGCCGAGCCCGCCCTCTCACCGAGGCGCTTTGTGAGCGACAGACTTCACTATGCAACAAGATCGCAAAGTTGCCAGAAAACCACCCGTTGCGAATTCTCACATGTCAGCCCGGATCATACTTACCTCGGTTTTGGGACCAATGCCAGAAGAGAGGCAGACCGAAGCAACAGTGGGCTTCGTGTGCTTACAAGCTTCTCCCACAACCACGGTCTTGATGTGGTCCCTCCCCCCTCCCTCCGTGTTTGATTTGACATGCTTCACAGAGCTGTAAAGAACAACATCGGCGACCAGCCTCAAATCAAGGATAGGCCGGTACGTCCAAAATCGAGGCACACGCCGTAACGGTCTGGACGGCTTACGCCTGCATCGACAGAGTTGTAGTGCACGCCAATGCGCTTTGCACCCTACGCTGTGATGCAATTTTGCTGCCTATGCGCTGTTTAGCGCCTGTCTGCTGTCTGTCTGTCTTCCGGGTTCCTCCCTTTCACCCATGCGTGATTTTCGGGCGGATGCTGCGAAGTTCAAGGAAGGGTTTGGCCTGTAGCGTACCAGCGATGACTGACGACGACGACGGACCACCGACGATCAGCATCATTGTCACCTGATCCACGTGTGCGGGAGAGGCGTTTCCGGAGCGTCTTGCGGGCGTCATGGGGGCGTCCTCGGGCCTCGACATTGGGTGGGCGGGTCGGGGGGTGCAGCCAGGGCCACGTGTTCCGAAGGGCTGTTCCGGAGCATGGACGAAGGGCTTCTGGCGGGCTTCTGAGGGTCTGTGTAGAGGCCTCCTGCGTTTCTGGGGAGCTTCTCGGGCCTTTCTGGAGCCTTTTGGTGGCTTTTGGGGGCGTCGTGGAGGCCTCCTGTGAGTCTCTTGGGGCCTCCTGGGGGCCTCTTGGGGCAGAGGGCGCCTCTGTTTGGGCATTTGGGGTGCTCTCTGGAGCCTCCTGGTAATATCTTGGGCCAGCTTGGGAGCCTCTGGAGCGGTCCGGGGCCCCTTCTGAACCCTCTTGGGGCCCTCAAGGCCCCCCCCTGGCCCCCCATGCGAACCAGAGGTCGCAGGTCTGGGCCCATCCCGCAACCGTGTCTGGGTTGTGGGTTAGAGGCTTCTCGGATGTTCGCTGGGATGGTATCGTGGGATGCCTCTCGGGGGGCCTTTTGGAAGCAGGTTTGAAGCCTCCTTTGGGGTCTCTTTGGAGCCTCTTGGAGCCACTTGGGGGCCTCTTTGGGCCTCATGGGGGTCTCTGGGGGCGGGAAACTCGACAGGTCGGTTCGCGTTCCCTCTCTTGGGCCCATCTTGGAGCCGTCTTCAGGCCCTCTTCAGGCCCTCTTCAGGCCCTCTTGGGCCGTCTGGGGGGCCTCTTAGGCCGATCATGCGGCCCTCTTGGGCTGTCTTGGGGGCCTCTTGGGGGCCTCTTGGGAGCCTCCTGGGGCGACGTTGGAGGCTTCTTGGGCAGTCTTGGGGAGTGTCGGCCGCTCGAAAACGTGAGAAGCAACAATTAGTGGCAACACACACACAATGTAAATCAATGATTTGGGCGTCTTGGGGCTCTCTTGGAGGTCCTCGCGGAGCGACCTTGGGGCATCTTGGGAGCCTCTTGGGCCGATCATGGGGCCATCTTGGGCGGCTTGGAGCGCTCTTGGGCCGTCTTGGCGGCTTCTTGCCGTCTCCAGAAGCCTAGACGCCTCGGGGAAGCGGAAAAAGTTCCGGGACTCCGAAAACGGGCCCCTGGATGCCCAAAAAGGCCCCCGCAGCACAGGGGGCAAATTCGGTTACGAGGGGGGGGGAGGAGTTTGGGAGAAGTGTGCGACCCTGGGCCGCGGGGCCCCGGACGCCGCTGATATTATGTACGTTTGCCGCATGCCGAGGACAGGCCCCTGCGGCCAGTCGGCCCGAGACATCCTCGGAGAACGATCCAGGTCCCAAAGCCGTGCGGTCACCCCGAGTCCCCACTGGACGCATCCTGCGGTGTGGCCGAACAGGCCCACGAGGTCTGACGCTGCGAGAAGATTACGCCACCGTGAAAAATCACGAGGCCGGGCCCCGGACTGACTACCCCAGATTTCGTAATCAAGGGAGGGGGGTCTCATTTCGGGGGGGGGTCTCTTCCAGGCTATCTTGGAGGGCCTGGGGGGGTCTGGGGGCGATGTTTTGGAGGGTTCTCCCACGGGGGGAGGTCTGAAATGGCTTGTCTTGGAGGGTCCAGACCCCCTCCCTTTTATTACGAAATCTGGAGTACCCACCAAGCCACCCCACCCCAACCCGAAGTCACCATTGGCCTCGTCGATTTCTGGGTGGGCACTACAAAACATCTTGAGGAAACACGATAGAACCCGCACACACCCCAATGCGAAATGCGGGATTCTCCAGGGCCTTCGGGTTGGGTGGGGTGGATTCGTAAGTATATTTCCGCGCAATTCAGGCGACGATCAATAACGGATCTTACGCGAGATGACGCAGCAACCTTGCGCCGCGGCTTACGCGGGCCGCCAGCGCGGCACGCTACATTGGTAACGAGGGCGCTTACGCGCGACCTTGCGCGGGCAGCTCACGCGCCAATGTCGGTGACGACGAACCTGTTTCCCTTCATCGCTCACTTAATTATCGAGCCGGGTCGATCCGGGAGGGCCCTGGGGCCCGAAACAGGGCGGACGCGCCCGGCTCGAACAAAAAACTGGGACGCCAGGATCTCAGAGGGGAGACCTGGCGCGCGTCCTGCGGCACTGGCCGGTGGAGGTGGTCGACGGACAGCACGGGGGCCTGAGGGGCAACGTTATACATGGGGTGACCCCAGGCCCCTTCGGGCTGTGAAAAAAAAACACGACGGGAGACTTTCGCTGTTTTCGGCCTCCAAGGGCCCTCGCTGGGCCCCGGGACCGTCAGAAAACGACTCAGAATGAAAAACTGGTCCCGGCAAAGGGTCCAGACCTCTGGGGGTCGACGTTGCGAAAAAGCCACGACATCGAGGGTCTGGGACCAGCTCAGGGGGAGGGGGAGCATCGACCTGGAATCAGCGATGCATCGCCGATAAATCAGCGATAGGCCCCCGACAGCAGATCCGAACGTTCAACGGCGGTGGGGGGCCGATGCATCCCCCTGGAGCCTGGCGGTTTTCGGGTCATCAATAGGGCCTCCAGCGGCCGATCGGGATGGTGCGGGCACCCCAGGAACGCTCTCGGCGAGGCGCCGCTGCTGGAGAGCATCCCGAGGCTGGAAAACCGCCCCCCCCCATCGTTAGAAGCCTCCTGGATGGGGTCGTAGTCGATGGGGTCGGGGGATCGCGCCGCATCGCCGATACATCGGCGATGCATCGGCGATGCACCAACGATTTATCGTCGGCGTGGGCGATGCATGGGCGACGTCGACGTGAAGCAGATCGGGCTCGACATCGAGCCGCATCGGCGACGCATCGGCGATGTGGCGCGGTCCTCCGACCCTATCTACTCGGACCCCATCCAGGAGGCCTCTGTAGAGAGGATGAGCCGAGCGCACGACCATCACGTCACCTGGGAGAGTTTTCCTTGCCCGTGGTGGCAAGCGTGAATCGTTGCCGGTCACCGTGAGAGGCCTAGAATCGTTGCCCCTAAGGACCGCAGGCGCGCCCGGCGCTCCCCTGGCGGCTCGCGCCGCGCCGCGGGGCGGCTGGGCACGCGCCACGGCGGCCGCGCCGCGGAGCCGAGGGCCTCTGCGCCCGTGGCGGCTCTGGCGGTGGGCGGCGGCGGCCGGGGGCGCGACCCTCAGAGGCGACGGCGTGGGGGCGGGCAACCTCCACGGACCAAGCAAGAACCCGTTGAAAGGTACTGTCCTCAGCCCCCCCTTCCGCCATGCCCGCCCGCCCCGCCGGCCCCGGCCTCCCGCCTGCGCGTCCGTCGTCGTCTGCCTGCTCCTCACCTCCGTCGGGCAGCCCCGCCTGCCCGGGGCCAGCGTGGCAGCGCACAGGGCTCCATCGGAGGCCCTCCGTCTGCACGGGCACTGAGCTCCACCGCGTGTGCGCCGACGCACGAGGCCCGCGAGGAGCCCATGGGCGGACATTACACCCTGGGATCTGGGCTCTGCAAGGTTGGCGCACCGGGCGTTTGCGCCCCGCGTCGGGCCGTGGGGCCCTCACGGCTCGGAAAGTGCGCCGCGGGGAGACGGGGTCCACGGCTCCGGTCGTGACCTGTCGCTGTGCCCCAAGCTGTTCGCAGAGTCGGAGCTGAGGGCACGTATTCTGGGCAACCACATGCGGGCCCTGCCCCTGCAGGTCAGGTTCCCGAGACGTCAGCTGCGTTTCGGAGTTCGAAGGGTGTCTGCAGCCAGGTGGACCCCAGCGGGGGTGTCCGACACCCCAGCGCCGAGTGGACCCGCAGGGATGGGCTTCGCCAGTGTTCGCAGATATTCGCTGGGGAGCCTCGCCGAAGACATGGACCATCGGCGCCCCTGGATGCATGCATCACTCCCCTCCAGACATACTCTGATGTGATGTTTTCAATCCGCGGCCACAGAGCTCCCAACCCCTTCCCCACGAGTAGTTTCGCGCACCAGCTGATCCCTGTTTCGGGTCGGGCGAAAGGGGGGGACAGCAAAGGGGGGTTTGAGAATCAGCTCACGTAGCTGACTTTCCTGGCGCCTCCCGGCGCCGGAGGCGCCCCTGTATCGAGGAATGAGCCCCTCGGTGGGGCCGAAACCAGCTGCATGCAGCAGATTTCGTAACCCCCCCTTTCCCAATCCCCCCCTTTCGTCCGGCCCGACTGTTGGTCTGGCCCCAGGGCCCGACAGCAGGGCCCCGGAGGCCGAACTCTGGGAAGAGCAGCGGCACCGAGCAGAACACGGCAGCGGCGCCCCCGGGCAGATGTGCTGCTCCCCCCTGGGCCGAGGGGGAACGATAAGGAGGATGGGCATAGGGGGGATGCATCAGCCTGGAATCGGCGATACATCGTCGATAGATCGGCGAGAGGCCCCCGATAGAGAAGCCGCAGCTTCCTGGACGGGGTGGGGCTATCGGGTCCCTATCGGTGATCAATGCGCGATGGGGGGGTCGATGCATCCCCCCCTATGTCTATCCCCCCTGTCGTTGCCCACGATGGGCTGCCTGCCCCCGTCCAGAGAGGCCAGAGGGGCCAGCGGTGCCGCGAACGCCGCCGCGGTCGCCATTGGCCGCCGGGGTGGGCGGCCACTAAAAGGATCGGCACGCGGAGTGTCTCCCTTCGCGGCGCCTCCCCTTTGGGCTCCTCGACCGCCTGAGCCGGAGTCTGCGGCTGCAGCTGCTCGAATGCGCTTCTGGGCAAAAAAGGTACGGGCCAGACAAGAACCCACTCTGCGTGAGTTCCCAGTCCCCGCCGCGCACACCTACACCCTACACCTACACATCTACACACACACACACACACGCACGCACGCACGCACGCACGCACGCACGCACGCACGCACGCACGCACGCATATACACACACACACACACTTTTCGTCGGCGGCTAGGCAGTCACTGCGCTGGCGAGGGAGCATAACAAAACACCCACACACACACACACACACACACACACACACAGATACAGACACACACACACACACACACACACACACACACACACACACACACGCACGCACGCACGCACGCGCGCGCACACACACGCGCACGCACGCACGCAAGCGCACGCGCGCACGCGCACGCACGCACGCACGCACGCACGCACGCACGCACGCATACACATTGACGAGCTTTTCGAGCCACGTCGGGCGGTGGCGACGCTGGGCCCACCGAGGCCGAAACGATGGCACAAGGCCGTGCGAAGTAGGAGATTCGCGAGCTCGCTGCAGGAGCGCGCGAAGCTGTTCAGCGGAGAGCTCTCTGGAAGCTGCCTGGTGGCCACTGGAAGTCCCTGGGACCAGGAGGACCCAGGGAAGCCACTGGGATGCCCCGCGAAACCTCGAGGGAGCCTTGGAAGCTTCCCGGAAAGCCCTGGAGGCCACCTGGCAGCCCTCGGGAACCCTTGAAAGGCCTATCGAAACACTTCGGAAGCGGCCAACCCCGAAGAAAGAGCAAAGGGATCAGAAATGATCAGAGAGGGGGGGGGGGGGGGGAAAAGCCTTCCTCGGGAAGACATTGTGGGACATACCATAGTTCGGCATACCATGCACGCATTGATACAAAAATGTCGATCGACGTCAGGTTTCACAAAAAGGCACGACAGGTAAAGCATTGGCCACACATCCTCCATCCGAATCTGGCCGCTTGCTGCATTGCCACTGCCTCCCTCCGCCTACCCCGCTTGCCAGCAGGGGCAAGGAAAGCTCTCCCAGGTGACGTGATGGTCGTGCGCTCGGCCCATCCTCTCTATAGATGCCTCCTAGATGAGGTCAAAGTAGATGGGGTCGGGAGATCACGCCGCATCGGCGATGCATCGGCGATGCACCGACAAGCCAGCCCAGAACTCCGAAGTCGTCGCGGCTTGCTTCACGACGTGGACACCCGGAGGACTGGACCCCGTCCCTGGGCTCCTCTCCCTCCTCCTCCTCCTCCTCCTCCTCCTCCTCCTCCTCCTCCGCCTCCTCCGCCTCCTCCGCCTCCTCCGCCTCCTCCGCCTCCTCCGCCTCCTCCGCTTCATCCGCCTCATCCTCTCCTCCTCCTCCTCGTCCTCCTCCTCCTCCTACTCCTCATCGTCCTCCTCCTCCTTCTTCGCCTCTTCCCTCCTCCCTCCGCCTCCGCTTCCTCCTCCGCCTCCTCCTCCTTCTCCGCCTCCTCCGCCTCCTCCGCCTCCTCTTCTTTGTCTTATGTTTCTTCTTCTCTTCATTATGAATAGTATTCGCATTATTCTTCTTAGTATTATTATTCAATCCTCCTTCTCCTCCTCCTCCTCTCCTCCTCCTCCTCCTCCTCCTCCCTCCTCCTCCTCCTCCTCCTCCTCCTCCTCCGCCCGCCTCCGCCTCCTCCGCATCCTCCGCCTCCTCCGCCTCCTCCCTCCTCCGCCTCCTCCGCTTTCTCCGCCTCCTCCGCCTCCTCCTCCTCCTCGTCCTCCTCCTCCTCCTCATCCTCCCTCCCTCCTCCTCCTCCTCCTCCAACCTCCTCATCGTCCACCTCCCCTCCTTCTCCGCCTCTTCCTCCTCCCTCCGCATCCGCCTCCTCCTCCGCCTCCTCCTCCTTCTCCTCCTCTTCCTCCTTCTCCGCCTCCTCCGCATCCTCCGCATCCTCTTCTATTATTATGTTTCTTCTTCTCTGTCTTATAACTATGATTCGCATTATTCTTCTCCTTCCTGAGTATTACTAATAAGAGTCCCCCTTTTCCTCTACTCCTCCTCCTCCTCCTCCTCCTCACCTCCTCCTCCTCCTCCTCCTCCTCCTGCACCTCCTCCTCCTCCTCCTCCTCCTCCTCCTCCTCCTCCTCCTCCTCCTCCTCCTCCTCCTCCGCCACCTCCTCCTCCGCCGCTCGCCTTCTCCGCCTCCTCCTGCTCTCCTCATCATTATCATCATCCTCCTCGTCCTCCTCGCCTCCTCTCCCCCTCCTCTCCTCCTCCTCCTCCTCTCCTCCTCCTCCTCCTCCTCCTCCTCCTCCTCCTCTCCTCCTCCTCCTCCTCCTTCTTCCTCCTCCTCCTCCTCCTCATCCTTCTCCTCCTCCTCTTTCTCCTCCTCCCTCCTCCCTCCGCCTCCGCCTCCTCCTCTTCCTCCTCCTCCTCCTCCTCCTCCTCTTCCTCCTCCTCCTCCTTCTGCGCCTCCTCCGCCTCCTCCTCTTCTTTTTCGTTAGGTTGTTTTCTCATGATTATTGTTATAAGTATTGCTATTTGTTATTCGTGGTATCATCATCATCATCATCGAGGTTATTAGTAGTCCTCCTCATCCTCATCCTCCGCCTCCTCCACCTTCTCCGCCTCCTCCTCCTCCTCCTTGTCGATTCTTTTCCTGATAAGTAATTTCACCTGTCGCACCCCGAGACCAGTTTTTTGGGCGGGCCGGGCGTTTCGCCTGAGACTTCCTCACCATGTATGATCCTGAAGCTTAAAAGCGGCAGCAATTTCACAAATGGTGGGCGGGTGGTTTTCAAAATGGCGCCGCGCACATTCGTTTTACACATGTCCAAAAGCTTCACGGATTAAGGGCGGGTCGCTTTCAAAATGTAGCTCTCGTCTTGGCGCCGCGTACATTCGTTTCAAACATTTGCAAGAGCTTCACGGATTGAGGGTGGGTCGTTTTCAAAATGCGGCTCTCGCGTTAGCGCCCCGAGCATTTGTTTCAAACATTCGCATGAGCTTCACGGATTGAACATTCGTTTCAAAAATGCAAGAGCGGCACGAGTTGAGGGCGTTTCGTTTTCAAAATGTGACTCTCGCCTTTGCGCCGCGGACAGCCGTTTGAAATAGTTGCAATA